GCCACACTGCAGGGCAAATCCAGCCTTCTCCCTATCTACACAGCCTGGAGCCATAGATGGGTTTTTTTTGTTGTTGTTGTTATTTTGTTTTTTTTTGTAGCATTGGGGATCAAACTCAGGAACTACCGCTGGCCAATATTCCCCAGCCCCTTTTTTTATTATTTTATTTTGAGATGGGGTGGTCTTGCTAAGTTGACCAGCTTGTCCTCAAACATGATGATCCTATTTCAGCCTTCTGAATAGATGTTTCATATCGGTTGAAAAAAATCAAAAGAATGTCATGACTTGTAAACATTTTATGAAATTCACAGTCCAGTATCTACAGTTGAAGTATCAACGGAACACAGTCATGCCCATGAATGTCTGGTCCAGGACTGCACAGATGTGACAGATACACTGTGGTCCACAAACCTGTAGATACTACCTGGCCCATTATGGAAGAAGTTTGCTGATCCTGGTCCACGGCATGGCTGGTTCCCAGCTGTCAGCATCTCCCTGCAAAGTCCTGTAGATGCCCACTGCCCATCCTCACTGAGCCCTAGCCCTGCCCTGGAGCCATCGCAGCCATCCACTCTGAAGGGCTCCAGCAGCCAGGGTTCTGACCAGGCTGCTGCTTCTGGTCATGCCCTGTCCACCTCCACTGGACCACTTCCAGCTCATTTTCAGTAAACCCTAGGAAAACCCAGCTAGAAAGAGGAAGGCTTGAGACTAGAAGACACTTGTGGTCTGGGGTCCTTGTTCATGATCCCAGTTTTCAGGCACCAGAACTCGGATTCTGGGGTCTTCCCTGAATTTAGAACCAAGAGAGAAGGTGCTGGGCTGAGGTGGATGCTCTTCTCAGAGGTCCCATCAGGATGAGGTGAAAGTTGTGATAATCTGGCCTCCCTCCTAAGGACACCAACGCCTTGTCCACCCTGAGGGTCTTCCTTCTACCCTCAAGCTCCACCCCCAGGCCCCTCTTGGCTGGCCGCTGGGAGGCCCTCTTCAGCCTAACCGAAAGGGCAGTGGGCAGGCTTGAGGTCAGAGCCCCTTCTGTTCCGGTAGGGGAGGTTGCTTTCCTCCTTGAGTGTCCCAGGAAGGACTGAACCCCCAAAAGGCTGGGGGGGGTTTGGTGCCCGACCAGGCTTCCCAGCTCTCCTGCTGAGGACAAGCCCAGAGTTGGGTCTGAGACCCCTTGGGCTCCCCGCCACGGTCCAGCAGGCACCTCCCCTTCCTTCGTCCCTCGTCCCCCACCCCGTCCTCAGTGGGGAAGCTTTGTTTCCTGGCAGGGGTGGGTGGCCAGTCTGACCTCCCACATGGTGCGTGGGGGTGCTGAGTTACTGGGACCAGAGTCTCCTCTGGAAGGCTCATGCTGCTGGGGTGCAGATCATCGGACAGTGAGTGCTTGCCTCCCTTGGAGTCTCTCAACCTGGCTTTGGGGAGAGATTCGGGGCCAATCAAGGGCTCCTGGTCGAGAGGCCAAGGCTAAATCGCTTTGTCTCGGACAAAGAGCTCCAGGCGCCTAAGCGGCGTGTCCAAGGGACGGGCGGCCTGAGCTGTGCGAGGAAGGTAAGGCATCGGGAGCCCCGCAGCCCGGCGCTCAACAAAGCCGGCGTCCGCCCGCCGCCCCGGAGGCCAGCGCTCCAGGCCAGCCAGGCCGGGCGGGAGGAGAGGCACCCGAGCTTCGGGAAGGAGGCGCTCGCGGCTCCAGGCCTTCCCGGAGAGCAGTGGAGACTGACTCCGGGGCTTGCAGGCCGCTGTGCTCGGGGTCCAGGGCAGCCGCACCGGCATTCTCGGTCGCCGGCAACGCGCAAAGGAACCGAGAGGAAGGGCTAGCGCCGGAACCGGGCTTGCGCAGGGACGCGACCCACAGGCAGGGGCTGAGGGTCCGCCTAGCGAGAAGGCCACTCCGGGCGGTGGGCAGGGGGCGCGGGCTCACCGTAATCCGGGGAATGCTCTTCTTGCCCTGAAAGGACATTCTGCTTCGCAGGTAGGCCTGGGGACCGGCAGGGGCGGCGCGGGAGCGGGCGAGCAAGCGGGGACGCGCGTTAAGCCCAGCGTGTGCGTGGGGCGCGAAGCGCCAGAGTGCGAGCAAACGGGCGCAAGATTCCCGGCCCCGCCCTCGCTCAACTGCGCTCAGGCCCCGCCTCTCTCATTTGCATTCATCCCCCGCCCCCCGCCAGCTCGTCCCAACCTCCCCTGCCTGGGGCTAGACTGATTCTCGCACCCCCTGCCGGTGCGTGCGGACTGGGGAGTGGAACGGGTGCGACCTGTCCCTGAAGACGCTGGAGGAGTTTGGATCCCGCAAAGGAGAGCGGTCAGACAGCGTCCTGCCAGGCCCGCCTGTGCCCTGCCCGGTGATGACCCGAAGCACCCAGGCTCTGGAGCTGGAGCTACAGTCTTCTTGCTTCCCTGGTTCCGTACTGTGGGAACCAGCTCCCTTCGGGAAGTTGTCTCTGGCCAAAGCCAGGCTCCTCCCGGAAGGCCGGAGCTGGAGCGCGAGAGCGGGGCTGTGTCCTGAGAGCTGCACCAGGCCCTGGAGACCTCCCGCGGGGCTGTTCCCCGGTGGGCTGCACAAAGCCAGCAGCGGGAGGGACAAGGTGGAGAGACACAGGCAAGGCTAGAAAGGGGCAGCGAGACAGACACACAGTGAGACGGACAGGGACAGGCTTAAGGACCGCCAGCCGGGCTCAGGAGTGGGGTCTCAAGGCAGGGAGAAGTCCTGGGACGGCTTCAGGCCTGAGCGGACGGCGCTATAAGTGGCAGCCTGCGTCTCTGTCCTGCAGCCTCACCTGAGGAGGTCCTCGGGCTGGGGCCAAGCTGGGCTGCCCTTGACGACGGGCCGCGACCGCAGCCAGGTCTCCGCCTGGCTCTCCAAGTATCTCCGAGAGGCAGCACGGCCCGCAGTAGGGCTCGCCCGCCCAAGGGTCTCGGGAGTCGCCGCCCAACGCGTCCAGAGGCAGTGTCTTGTTCTCAAAGGCATCCTCCACGCAGCGGAAGACGCCACCGAGCTTGGGCCGGGCCAGAGGCTTGGCGGGACTGGGCGGCTGTGGTGCAGTCATGGCAGGAGTCAGCAACCAGCGTCTGGGTTCGTCTGGAACCCCAGCGCGTCAGCAAGTGGGGCGAAGACCCGGCCCTCCGTGGCCTCGCCCTCTTCCCGCTCCTTCTCCCCCACACTCCTGGCCCGGCACAGTGGAGCTGGCGCTGTTCACACAGCAGGTGCTGAACGAACTGCCTGGTCTGGCCCCAGAAGCCTGGCTACCCAGCAAGCACGGCCGCTCAACCTCGGGGCACACGTGCGCTCCGACTCCATCCACACACGCAGAAACGCGGGAAGAAAGCGACTGCTAGAGAAGCTGCGGTCCGTGGGAACTCCATCGCTCTCCAGAGCCCTTGGGAGAATCCACGTTGGGCAAGGAGGCCCTGACTAAATCATCAGCAAGAGTAAGATCTGGGGATCAGCAAGCACGAGCAGCTCCTGACCTCGCTGAATGCCAAGGCGGAAGACTTGGGGTGAGACAAGACAGAGGGGGTCCCGGCTGTCCAGGGATCACAGGGCTATACTATCACACTGTGGAGGCCTGCAGCGACTGATTTTTGAATGAAAAGACCCCAGCCTTTGTGTTGTCGGTGCAGTCGGTATTTCAGAGCCCAAGTTCAGAAAAATGAGTCACTAGGACACTCCAATGGTCTACAATGGACACTGACAACAGTTCTTACGTGCAGAAATCTCCTTTTTCTAAGTTATTTGGGTTCTTTCTGTTTTGGTTCACATCTGACAGACAGGAGAAAATTTTCCAGTTGGCCCACCCCAGCAAGGTGCTGCCAGGTACCTGATGCAGAGGTTTCCTCCAGGTGATTTTAGATTATTTAGGATGAAGCTGCAGGTGAGCCTCCCGCCCCGCCCCAGTGGGCAGAAGGTCCAGATTCCCTTTCTGGCACAGAAGGAGGCATTGTATTTTTCAGAGAATGAATGCAAAAATGCAGAAATGGCTACTATAGCCCATAAGTTCAAATCCTAATAATACCCAGAGGGGTGCTTTGATCTTCTAAGATTTTAAAACAATTTTTATTAAAACTGTACAATAATTTACGAATAAGTAAAAATTCTCTTGTATATCATAGGAATCACAATACAAAAATATGTGTAAAATTTTGTAGTGGATCACCATACAAACCTAGTTTAGCCTGTGAATACTGTTTAGTACTGAGCAGAATATCACATGTTTAGAATGTGGTAATTAAGCAACTGCCTCAGAGAACACAAATACTGCCTGGCATATTGCCATAGGGAAACAAATCCTGTTAATTTTTGCATAAATTTACAATATATCCTTTAAAAATATACAGTAAACAAATATATGCTTTGATACATATATTCACAATATGATTTTCCTGAGCCTAAACTTAAATCCATTACTTCATAAAAACACACTACCCATCTCAAGGTTTCAGTGATGGAGTGACGGCAAGTGCTGATGAATTATCAATCTCTTAAAGCCACTGTTGCACCAGCCCCTCCTGACTCCCAGTTGGTGTTCACAAGCCACATAAGGCACTCAGGTTTCCTGAAGGCTACAGATTCTGCGAGGGCAGAGACCTAAAGTCACAGCCATAGGCCTTCAACAACTGGAACTCAACCATGGAAACAAGGTAAACACCACATGGTGTCCACAAAGGAATCTGTATTTTACATGGATTTCTAGTTTAGACAAACTAAAACATTTATGTTGTTCTGTGGATTGTGCACACAATGCGACCATGCCCTGGGTATCCTGTGGTATATAAATGCTTATGTCTTGGTTACACAGGAAGTGTTCCTGGCCACATTCAGTGTCTGTCCTCTTGCTTACTCAGAGCGGTGCCTTTAAACTGGATTTCCCATTTGAAGAGCTACAGTAAGAGCCAAATGCTCAAGGAAATTCAGTCCAGCCCACTGTTGAATAAAAAAGAAGGTACAGTCTGGGATTTAGAAAATGCACCTTATTTTTAAAACACTTGAACTCTTCAGATGCTCACTGGTCAGCAAGAATGAGTGATACATACTAATATTTGCTGTTTTTTTTTTTTTTTGTCAAAGCCCAGTTCTGATCTTGTAATGAGATGAAAAGAAGGTGCCATGACATATGAATGAAAACAATGATACCTACAAAGAGGAATGTCATTCCAACTAAATGTGTGCTTTCAGGAATGTGGCAGGGGTATAAATGCAGTTTGGATCACAGGACATTATTTAAAACATTCATAGAGCCATTTTCCTTTCCTATGTACAAACTTTTTACATATGAACAATAACAGCTTCATAAGCATTGGTACATATTTACATGCTTTTCTTTCCTGTATAGTTTGTCTTTTTTTTACATTACAGAACTGCGATTTAGTGTGTCTGGAGTGGATGGGAAGGTATATGAAGTACTCCTGACACATACAACATGCAAAATCACGATAATCCAACTAAACCAGAGGGATGTGAATTTGGGTGAGTCTCAAAAGCACATCTTTAGATCCTAATCGGCTGATTTTCTCTTACAAGTTCACACAGGAGCCCAGCCAGGAGCTTTCCCCAGGGGATGCAGGCTGGCAGGGGACCACATGGAGTTTCAACATGTTTCCTGGATGTCTGTGTTGCAGAGTCCATCAGACTTTAACCTAATGGTTCCTTTATAGCTCTGTGGCAGCGCTTATTAATGCATGTTATCGTTTGCCATTTAGTTCTGAGTACAATAAATCTTCCAAGAGGATGCAGCCATTAAAACCAGACAAAACTATGCACGGAGGAATATACAAGATTTCAGATTTGAGACAAATCTCAACATCAGGCTTGACTAGGGAGGTGATGAACTGGACCAGTGCCTTGTCCAAGTGAATCAGGGACTGTGGTTCAAATGACAAAAGAAAGGATAGGTCCTTCATGGATAAGTGTGATTAATAGTGCATTTCCCAGCAGAAATTCTGCACCCACCAAAGAAAAAGCATATCTGTCTGATCCTATAAGCATTCCCCAGATTTTAACCTAGGGAACCATGCCTGGTCCACCACATCAGTACCGGAGTGGAACATTTCTTCTGGCACAAATATAAAATGAGCTTAATACTTCCAGACAACACAATTGTTCCTCTCTCCAGCTACTGGTTTTTTTAAAAATGCAATGCTACAGGTTACACTCACACTTGGATGCATATGGCACACCTGGTGCATCAACTTCTAGGTGCCTCAAATGGGCTCATTTGTTGTTGTTGTTTTGTTCTCTGGTTGAGTGAGGACATCCATGAACACATGTGCACATGCACATGTCTCTTCTAACTGAGCCACTGAGGGCAACAATCTTAGACCACCAAGGATGTGATGATGACGACAGAAGAACCCTTCAGCCATGGAGTCAGGCTCATCCAAATGCAGGAAGACTTTCCTGGGTTGTGGACTGAATCATCCAGCAGGAATGGAAGTCACACTTAACACTGCCTTCATTGACGCACTGTTTTCTCTCTGAAAAAACAGTAGAAATAAATGTTTCTTTAGTATGACATATCCGAGTCTCTCATGGGGAATGTATACATCATGGGCTGAAACTCAAGACAGGGGGGGTCAGGAGAAATGCTGAGGCAAGGGGAAGGCTCTACTATGGACCATTTTATGGTGTGCCTATCCCAGGAGCACTGGCTCTGTGGAACCAGCACCAGCCAAGGTGCCGGATCTTGAGCTTCCAGTCAGGAGAAGCAAATGGCCCTCCAGGAGAGCACATGATTACAAAGGTGAGTCTGTGTTCCTCGTGAGGCCATTTGCAGAAGTGGCCTTGACTCTCCCTCAGTGTCCATGGCAGCTGACCCTATTCCTATCTGATTTTCATTTTGTCTCATCACTTATAAAGTGGGCTTCTGCCAGGTTCTCATTTTTTCTTTTTACTTTTACATTTTTAAAATGTTTTTGGCAAGTTATTAAGGAGCTGCTAAGGTTCCTTATAAAAAGGGGGTTGACCCTGACTGGACACAGAAGCAGGGCAGGGGGGAGAGTAGGCAAGGGTCATGGACAGTAGGAACTCCACAGTTTATTAGCTAGGAGAGATTGGGGAGCTTGTTTTCTGGGTTTTGTTTTTTTATTTTCTAACCTAACTAAGATTATCTCATATAGAATGAAAAGAAACACTTAGGCTTCCCTCTGCACGTGTTACACGTTACAGTTGAAATTGCTGCTGCAATTAAAATTACACATTGTTCCCAGTGTCTTCAATCTGATTGATTTCTAAATAAGTTGTCATCAGATCATCTATTTCTAGAATATTAAAGAAGAGACCTACCAGTTCAGCCCTCTCATTTTTGCACATATAAAAGCTGAAGCCCCCCAAATAAAAATGATTTCCCCAAGTGACATTTCCAAGCTGATTAGAGCCAGAGGTCCTGATATCCCCCACCCTCCCACCCCACATCATTTTCTCTCTGAATTATGTGATCAGCTGCCCAGGATGTGAACTACATACATCAATTATGGAACAGAAATCTTGTCAAAAATAATATTCAGAGTTCTAAAAAGTCACTCCCCAAATTAAAAGGATGGGAAGGGTAGTTGGTTACCTGTGGTCACCCGATTGCTCTCCTGAGCCAGTTGCTATCCTACTTCGCTAACATACTCCACTCACTGTTTCCAGGTGGAGTCTGGAAACTCCCAGATTCCACTAGAGACTGGGAGACCAACAATTATCCTGTGGTAGTGTGAAATGCTGTGACAAGGGTAAGCACTAGAGCCACAGGTCTACCTTCTCTCTGGAGGGTCAGAGTCTGATGTAATTTTAATATTGGCCTGTAGTATGGATGGATCATAAACTATGGGAATAAGGTGATAACCAAGTCATGAATTTAACTCATTTTATGGTACTAAAATGAGTAGAGTAGGGACAAGAGGTGTCCAGCTGTACCATTACCCTGTGCTGAGATGGGGGTGCCCCGCTAACAGGCACTAAGACACGAGAACTTCTTTGACAGTTGCAGAAGCTGCACCCATTGGTAATGCATGAAGTGGAGCCGTGCATATGGATTACAAAACAGTGTTCTGATTTATGTCAAAATAGAGCCAGAGGAGCAGGCCCCTGCCGTCTGTCTGTGTTTGTGTTGGGAATTTCCATGGGATCTCAGCTGTTGGGAAACACCAAGCTGTTGGCAGGGAAGACAAGTACCTTCTTGGGGCCCAAAGAGCCCAGCTTGGATCAGAATTAACTACAGATGGTGACACCACCAAAGGCCCAGGATCCACAGCCTTATATGTGGTTTCCAGAAATCTGTACGTAATATCCAGAGCTAGGGGTCTCATCTGGGATAAGACCTCATATCCTGGAGCTTCACCCTCTATCCCCAAATGCTGTATCCCAGCACCCACCCCAAAATAACGCATACATATATCTGCACTACCAGTTACAGGATGCTGGAGCATGGGCTTAGAACAGTACCTTTCCCATAAGCTCTGTTAGTCCAAGAAACTTTAGCCAAACATTTTCAAACTACAGAGAAACAAATGACAATGGCAAAACCTGTTTGGAGCTATGGTCTTTTCACCCCAAGCTCTGATTTGGGGGGAAATATCAAGTAAGCAGACTTTCCAGACAGAGGCTTAGCTTCCTCCTCACGACTCTCTATGGAGTCTATCAACCCTACAGTACTGTCATCAACTCCCTGCCTACCAGGGTGATCTGTGAGGTCACCCCTCCCAGTTCCCATGGAGGAGGGCCCCACATGACCCCTTCAGATACTGGATGGTCCTTTCATCCTAGGATGGAAAAGAATCACATTCCTCTGCCTGGGTCTCCCTCTTGCTGACTTTGACCCTGCAGCTGCCTAATAAGTCAATAATAAAGTGGTGCCCATTTTTATGGAGTAGGTGGGAGGTAAGGATGAGGCTCTGGGACTCCTGAGGGCTGTGATGGTAAATTTTATTTATCGAGTTAACTGGACCATGGGATGCCTAGGTATTTGGCCAAACATTCTGTGTGCTGGTGAAGATGTTCCTGGGTGAGAATCACATTTGAATCAGTCAACTGATTGACTCAAGCAGATGGCCCTCCCTAGTGTGGGTGGTCTTCTCCCTGTCCACTGAGAGCCTGAAGAGAACAGAGGTTGAGCAAAGGGGATCCCCTCCTTCTGCTATGAACTGAGACATGGGTCTTTTCTGGAATTTGGACTCAGATGGAAACATTGGCTCTCCTATGTCTCCAGTGTGTTGACTACAGATTTTGGGCTTTGTGAGTCTCCATAACTGCACAAGCCAACTCCTCATAAACAATCTCTCCTGCCCATACACACATGTGTGAGTGCATGCACAGATACGTATACAAACACATTTTATTGGTGCTATTTCTCTAGAGAGCCCTAATACAAATATACTTCACTGACCATCCACATTTCAAGGAGGTTACCCCTTTTCAGGGCAGGTGGCCTCTGTCATACCACTTGTGGCCACGTGGCTAAGAGAGGGCAGAGGCAGGACCTGTATAATTCCAAAATTTCCATATTGTCAACCATATTGCCAAGTTTTTCCAGTAATCTAACAGACTGACAAAATTCATAAATCTATTGTATAGATACTGTTGGGAGGGGGCCTCAGTGCTTAGAATCCAAAACTGTATTAAAATATAACTTCAAGAAAATTAAACAGGGAAAAAGGGGACACGTTAGCCAAGAATAAAGTGGTCTCTGGTCTCCTCACAAACTCAAAACCCAAGAAAGAGGATCCCCCATTAGAAAGTCCACAGTTCTCCAGGTAGGGTCCTAGGAACTCTGGGAGCTGGAGGAAAGACGCTTGTGTTGGGAGCCAGAAGGGCAGCCTGCAGGGGGAATGGAGAAAATCAGTGAGGGTCTGTCACTCAGACTCAGGGGACCCCTCCCAGACCTCAGAGACCACTGCCTGTGGGATTCAGGCTGGGGGCAGGGAGGTACAGGGTGACAATGGGAATACAAAGAGGTGGGACAGAGAGGACTGGCAGGGTCCTTGAGAGGCATCTTGGATTCCTGCTGAGTGCTGTGGACCTTAGCCAAGCATCTGGAATCAGGGAGAAAGGTCAAGAGGAGGTTTGCAGTCTCCCTAGTGACCTGATATGGCAGGACCTTGAGACCCCCTGGGAACTGTGATTCCATCCAAAGCCCTGCCCTAAGGGATCTGACCCAGCTCCATGGCCTCCAGCAACTCCTAGCAGCACCAAGTAAACAGATCTCAGCTCCCTTACCTGGCTGCCTGGGATGACAGCTTGCTGCTTGTTCAGTGGCCCCTGAACTCCCTGTAGAGGTTCCTAAAAGGGCCGACAATTGTAACAGTGGATCTCTCCAAGCTCAGAAGTGTCTCTCAAGGATCTGAGAGCCTTTCCTTTGAAATGGAATCCGGGGGGGGGGGGGCCTGTCTCCCAGCCTCCATTATCCTCCATCACAACTTTGATGTCTGCCAGCTGGCAGACACAGCTGCCTGATCTTTCCTCCCTGACCAGCCTCTTACTGTGCTTTTGTAACTTTTCACTTCTCTGGCTCTTCTAAGTGCCACCCCCCAACTCATTCTCCCTTTGAATGCCCAAATTGTCCCTGCAGGGCTCAGAAAGGACCTCAGACCTTTCCCTACTGTCAGTACTGAGAATAAACCTCATTTTCCATGTCCAGCTGTATTATCTTTGACAAGCTCTGCTGAGAGGGCGATTCAGCTGGAGGCAGGGTTGGAACTGACTGGGATGCAGGTGGGCTGGGGAGGATGAGGGTGGGCTTGCTGGGCCACATGGGGAGGTAGTTCTTGAAGAAAAGTTCACTGAGCCCCTTGAGGGCTTAAAATCCCAAACTATATCAGAATATAACTTCAAGAAAATTTAAACAGGAAAAAGGGGGACATTTTAGCCAAACTCCAAACCCAGGAAACTCCAAAGCCAGGAAAGAGACTTCCCCATTAGAAAGTCCATAGTTCTCTAAGTGGGGTCCCAGGAACCCTGGGAGCTGGAGGATTTGTCCTTATGCCCTCTTATCTCAGGCCCTTTGGGTAGAGGCCACAATCCCCCTCCTGCCACCTCCCTTTCTGGTTGAAAGGAATGACCATGTCACCCTACCACAGAGAGTGCAGATCCCTAAGGCAGCCCTGGGGGGACAGCCCACCCAATCCACCGAGGGCCAATGCAGTGGGGTGTGCAACATCAAATTGTGCTCAAGGAGGGAATACCCTGCTGATATGAGAACAAAGAGGAAGCAAAACCCAGAAGCCATTTGCCTCATTTAGGAACCAAAGGGTGGTCCTAATGTCCTTCCGGAGGAGGTGCAGAACCATAGGCAAACATCCCTGTGATAAGATGCTCAAGACTGAGTCTCAGGACTCAGCATTACTACCCATACCTCCTTGGGCACAATGCCAGTCTTCCTGGACAGCAGTGGTCTGAGACCTCAAAACCATGTCCCACAGGGCTGCCTGCAGACTGCAGAGCAGGTCCTTTGCCCTGACCTCAGCCTGCTGGCATCCAGCTCCTCCCAGAGGCACAG